ATATTTCTACACCAAGTCAATGTAGAACTATATTTCTACATCAAGTCAAATGTAGAACTATATTTCGACATCAAGTCAATGTAGAACTATATTTCGACATCAAGTCAATGTAGAACTATATTTCTACATCAAGTCAATGTAGAACTATATTTCTACATCAAGTCAAATGTAGAACTATATTTCTACATCAAGTCAAATGTAGAACTATATTTCGACATCAAGTCAATGTAGAACTATATTTCGACATCAAGTCAATGTAGAACTATATTTCTACATCAAGTCAATGTAGAACTATATTTCTACATCAAGTCAAATGTAGAACTATATTTCTACATCAAGTCAAATGTAGAACTATATTTCTACATCAAGTCAAATGTAGAACTATATTTCTACATCAAGTCAAATGTAGAACTATATTTCGACATCAAGTCAATGTAGAACTATATTTCTACATCAAGTCAATGTAGAACTATATTTCGACATCAAGTCAATGTAGAACTATATTTCTACATCAAGTCAATGTAGAACTATATTTTGACATCAAGTCAATGTAGAACTATATTTTGACATCAAGTCAAATGTAGAACTATATTTCGACATCAAGTCAATGTAGAACTGTATTTCTACATCAAGTCAAATGTAGAACTATATTTCGACATCAAGTCAATGTAGAACTATATTTCTACACCAAGTCAATGTAGAACTATATTTCTACATCAAGTCAAATGTAGAACTATATTTCGACATCAAGTCAAATGTAGAACTATATTTCGACATCAAGTCAATGTAGAACTATATTTCGACCTCAAGTCAATGTAGAACTATATTTCTACATCAAGTCAATGTAGAACTATATTTCTACATCAAGTCAATGTAGTACTATATTTCGACATCAAGTCAATGTAGAACTATATTTCGACATCAAGTCAATGTAGAACTATATTTCGACATCAAGTCAATGTAGAACTATATTTCGACATCAAGTCAATGTAGAACTATATTTCGACATCAAGTCAATGTTATGTAGAAGTGTGTAGAAGTATCTCGCATCATTCCCCGTTGACTTTGCCCGATCTCTTCCTGGCCAACATTCACCCCTCCTGGGGCCCTTTTCGAGTCAATTTTTATTGTTAATTGATTTCAATTTAGTTGACCCTCGTCACCACGCATCACGTCAGGCAAGAAAATAATATATTTTCAAAATATAATGAATAAAAATTTCGGAAAATAATATTTCAAGAGTTGCTAAATCATTTTAATGTCGTAATATAATTTGCACTGACACCTGAGATACCCAATCACAGAGCTCAAGCAACAATCAAAATATCTTTCATTGTTGTGATGCGCATGTCGACCAGCCACGCTGTTTATATGCCACTTTTGGAGTGTCAGTGGTTGCCGGAAGGCCAGCCCAGTGGGTTGAGAACGCGCGCCCGGTAACTGGGCGGGCAGTACTGCACTGGCCCGCGAGTCACTACCGGGGCGGGGTTCGAAACCGGACTGGGCTGCCCTTTCTCACACCCTTTTTTACGTCCAATTCAATTCGAAATCACGTTTTTTTATTGAAAACTATTGCATATTTCTATAAAAAAAATTAAATATCTATAAATCAATAAAAATATTTATTTATAAACATTTGACTTTTTTACTTAGAAATTCCGTTATATGAAGTAAAATTTGAGTTCAATCACTTAATTAATGCTAAATAAATTTCTTCTATCCCCTGCATTTTGTGTTTTAAAATTCACAATCTGTTTAAGTTTTTTCATAAAGTTCTCTTTGTTATTTTCATAATTATACTTCAGATTATCCTATTTGGTTAAAGTCGCTGTTTGGAGTCAGTTGTCCTTTAATTTTTGCAACAAAAAACAAAATTAAGTACAGCTTGGGCAATTTCATTTTTATTGAAGATTGTGTGTTGACTGTTGGGAATAACTTTTTTAAATTAAAAAAAAAAGAAAAAAATGCCATCGATATAAATATTAAAGATAAATTTAACACTATCTATCATTATGTATACATACACTGAAACAAATCAAGCCTTTGACTGTCCAAATAAGCCTAATTGGCGCCACTTGGCGTCGCTGAATAATGAATTAATCTTGCAAAGTGCTAGCACGGCAACTACGCACTACGTATTTATTTGTATAAAACGTCGAGCCAATAATAAATTAGGGTAGGTTGGCGCATTATATTGTAGCAGAAGAGAAGCTGCTTGTGCGCTGGTTTCAATAAACCCTTTCTTTGATGCACTGATTAGATAATGGAAGCAAACATTGACGAGGGCTCAATAGAAAAAAGAGGCAGCTTTTGTGATTCCCGTGACAAAGCAAGCCGAGTGCATGGAAAGGAAAAGAACAGCTCTGCCTTTTCGGCAGTCAATTTTATTGCTGCGAATTTTTCTCTCTTATCCGATCAATTTGCCGAAGAATTATTGGGCCGGAATAAATGGCCATTCCTGTGTCACTCTTTATTTATTTTTTCTCTCTTAATGTCAAAGCTGCTTTTGCGCGGAACAAAGGGAGGAGAGGAGAGAAAGGCACTTACTGCAGGAAATAATAGCCGGGCTGCTTTTTTATTATAATTGAAATCAACGAGCGCGCGCTGCAGCCTTTATTATTCGCTGCCTTTGAGAGTGCAAAGATAAAAAGCAGTCCTTTTTGCGAAGACACACGTCGGAGGCTTTCAAGTTCTTTCTCCTTGCGTTGTTTGGTTTTCAATTAGTATGGGGCAGAGAGCAGCAGGCGGATAAAGTACTCGACTGGAGAGGAAATTTTGCGGGGGAAATGAAATTTGCTGCGTGTTTAATTCCAGCAACCCTTCATCAAACAGCTCGTGAAGTTCAAAGAGAGAGAATTTTCCTGTTTCCTCTTTGACAAAAGAAACTCAAATCTGTTGGAATATCTTGATTTAATCTCTGGATTAAATTGTTCTTAAAATTTGAATTAGGATTTATAAGAAGCGGTTAATTTTTTTTTTAAATTTAAGTTTTAGAAATCGTACACAATGTTTGACAACTTTTTGCGACTTTTTGAAAAAATAATAAAACAATTAAAGTTCATTGTTGATGGTTTTTTTGCCTTGTTACATTATATTGTTGGTATTTAATTAATGAAAAAAAATCCTTGAAATAATGAAAAATTGTTGAAAAAAAGACACAGATTTTGCTAAAACTCCTGGAATAAAAAAGATCTCATTTGCCATTGTGTAAAATATTTTGCAATATTTTGACAAATATGCAAAATTATTAATAATAAACCTTTAATTAAATTCAACTTGAACACAAAAATTCCAGAACTGCTCTAAAAACATCATATTGTTGGTATAGTTTTCCGACTTAAAATTTTCCAAATAATATTGATGTATTAAAACGCATTGAACCGCCGCAAGGTAAAAGAATTTACTCTAAATTATCCATATAATGATACAAAAGCAATTTCAAACAATTGTTTTCCATTTTGGAGTCAACATCTGGCGTAATTGTACGCAGAATATTGCGATTCAGGCATCACTTGCCGCCGGCGATATGTTGTTTATTAATTCTGCAGCGAGTGAAACGCAAGAAGTCTGCAAAATGCTTGCGCTGCGACAAACATGCAGCATTGAATTCAAATCAGCCGAGAAAGAAAGGAAGAAAGTGAGTTTGGCACAATGGCATACGGGATTATATTCATCCTTGGCGCGTAATTGGCCGCAATCTTCGTCGCCCCACGCTTGCCGATGTGTTGTGCAAAACATTCGCAAGCACTTCATCATTGCGGTTGAGAGAGAGAGAGAAAAAACATCACGTGACTTCAACTGAGCAATCTGGAAATTTTTGAAACAATTCACACGGTCATGATGTAAAAATATTTATTGAAACATTTTTAAACGTATTTTTAACATCAAAGGATTCGCCGAAAATATTTCTTACTCAACCTTCGAACAATGCGTCGTTGACGACATAATTCTTCTCTCATACAATAAACAATCGCCCCTTAATTTGATTTCACGATCGTCCCTTTCAAGTGCAAACGTAGCTGGAATGTGTCGCTGCAGAGATACAGCAGCTCCCTTTAATGTAAATGGAATTATTATTATTACGTGAGAGTGATGGCTTCCTTGCGATTAATGCCGCGTGCAACTGACATTTACACTGCTGGGTGATTCGTACGTGCGGCGATTATTTTTCCAGTTGCATAACTCCCTGGCTTATTCATGTTATGTATAGAAATAATTGTTTCCAACATATTCTAATTAAACCCTGTTTTAACAGAATAACAGAAAAATGTAGTATACTCGACAGATTTTTCACTTTTATTTTTTTTTTACTATTTGTATTATGTATAGAAATTTTATGTGATAAAAATTATCTCAAATTCTTTCAATTAAGACTTCCAATTGATCACAATCGATATTTATAGTTTAAATTTTACTTTGCTTAATTTTTCTTACACCTGTTAACTAAATTATTTGTTATTCCAAATTTATAAGTCTTTTGTTTTAGTCAAGAAAAGCCTATTTCATTTCATTATTCCTGTAGCCCTGCTTGCCTCATAGCAACGACCAGACTTTTATTTTCGTGGAAATCTGTCTGAAAAATGCTATGGTAACCAGCCAGATTAAAACCGCCCAAGCTCCGTGATCTCCTCGTCTGCATTTTATTCCCCCATGTGCTTGGCTCAACTTTTCCAGCACCAATATTTTTGTACCTACAAATCTCCCGAGTTAATACCCAGTTGAAACGGGTCCAAATCTGCTGCATATCTTTGCTGAAATAGCCAAATTCCACTTTATTGCGTCCCAGATGAAATTAATACCACCTGCTCCGGAACAGAATTTTTCCCAGCCGCGCGTTACGTAATTCATCACTTTTGCTGCAAGTCTTATCCGACAATCAAATGTCAGAGTTGAGATTTCGGAGTGAAAACTTTTGCTGGATAAAGAACTTCGCAAACGCAAATAAACTCGTGCAAATTCTCAAAGGGAACTGACTGGTCGTCTTTTTGATGTGATTGCAGGTTCGCCTCCGTGGGTGGGCGCCAACCCTGCCCGGAGGGAAGTTCGGCCGCCCAAGATTGGAGATATTCCACGGTAAGTACGCAATTAAAACTTCTAATCTGTCTGGGATTTGTTTTGCGTCGGGCTGCTCGTTTTTGTTTGTTCCGCCTCGACGGGCACTGGGCAGGTGAAAACGTCTTACAACTTTTGCCGCACTACAACTTATCGAAGAAACTTGACTTGGCTCTTTTTATATGTATTTTTTTCTATTTGACAAGGGTCTAGCTATGAAAAAAAAAATAATTAACAAATCCGAGATATTAAAGATTCATTTTTAATGCAGTAATTAATTAAAAACACTTTCAAGATGAAAACTGAGAGATAAATTTATTATTATTTTCTGTTTGAATAATTTAAAAGTAAAAAAAAACTTGATTCATTCAATTTTAGAGTATTATTGTTGATTGTTCGTTTGGTCAACTGTTCAAATCTCTTTAAAGTTGATATATAATTAGTTCTGATCCTGTTCTGATCTTACTAATCACCAAAGTAAAAAGTTTTATGCTCAAATTATTTATTAATTTAAGCACAAAACTTGAGGAATTATTGATTTAGTAAGGATCACTTTCCCTATTTAAATAATTAATCCCTCTGGCTTACTCCCTAAATTAATTAATATTATTCCCTTTCGTTGCAAAGTTTAACGTTTCAAGAAAACTCTTAAATCTCTTGAACGTCATGAAAGTTTTTCCTGAACTCTAAATCAAATCTTGCACCTCTCGGCAGCTGCAACGGAATTCAACGATAAATAATATCGTGAGCTGCATGTTTATTTTCCGACAAAACTTTGCCGTTCAGGCCAGTTTTTGCAAGTCATTCCCGCAGTAAAACTCTAAATCGCACTTTTTACAACTTCCTCCGTCGGCGCAGCACACCAGGGAGGCAAATAGAGAAGAAAAACTCCCCAAACGCCGGGGTGAAAAACGAGCGACCTCATTCGAGTCGTGTCAAAGTCGGTCACTTTTATCCGTCTTGGAATTCCCGCGGGCGTCAATCGGAAGCGAGATCTATCGAGACAGACTGCGGATCACAATGATTTATGCGCCGCTCGTCCGTCTATTAATTTAGCCGAGGCGCGTTGCCTGTCAAAGTGGCCTTTAATTAATTTCGCACATGATCGCCACTCGATATCCGGTGGCGCGACAGCCCCCTCGGGCCTTTGCAGAAATGGGTTAGTGGCGCGAATAAAATGCAACTCGTGGACTCTTTTCGGGGATGCGAGAGGGGAAATAGTGCTCACTCGGCGCTCGACCCCGCAATCGGTCACCATGGCGACCGGCGGCAGGGGTGCCAAAGTTGGCTGCCGATCTGGCGATAATAGCATCAAAAGTTGCCGCGCGCAATTGGCACTTTGGGCCGAAAATCGGCTTTTTCTGTCGCCTCGATGCGGAAATTAAGGTGATGGAAAGTGCGAAATTGGTGCTTTTAAAAGTCTCCACTGATTGTGAAATGCGTTTGAATGTTGGAGATTGGAGGGATTGAAATAAAGTTTTTTTTATAGTTCTCTTTATTCAACATTAAATTATAAAAATTCAATATTATCTTAAGATGGATTTGTTTTGTCTTTTGACATACGCAGCTGAGAGACAGAAAATTAATAGTGATAGTAGTGATTAATATAAAATAAAATCGCATTCTTTTAAAGATTTTCTGCAAATATCTCTAAATTTAGCAACTAGTCTGCTATAAATATTATAATAAAAATTTAGTTTTTTAAAATAACATAAAATTAATTACTTCAATTAAAAGTAAATGTACTTATTTATTTAAGACTTTTAAATGGAAGTAAACATAAAAATAAATAATCTTTTCTATTCAAAGCTCAGTCAACAAATCTCTCAAGGCTACTTTCGATTCAGCTCGCGGGATAAACATCTTCGTGTCTACACGATGAAAAACGCGATAGGGCGCTCGTTGCGAGTTGCGCGAACGGCGGAGAGAATTGGTTGGCACGACTGTGCCGGTGGCTCCTGCTGGAGCCAGAAAGGAAAAGTCCACATCCTCCTCAGTACGTTGATGGCAGCCCTTGCGAGATGATGTAATGCTTTACCTCATAACAACAGCGGAAGGCGAGGAGTGAGTACACAGGGCAAATAATTCTGTTTGTACGCGGCATGTGTGTTTATTTTGCCAACAAACGCCTCGGCACGCGTTCCGCCTCAATTTGATTAAACCTAGTCTTGCATCGCCGCGTTTCAAGTTCATGCCGAGATCAAATTGCTGATTTGGCGGAAATAGGAAATCGGTTGTATTTTCTTTTTTCATTTTATATACTAGTTGAATTTTTGCGGTTTGTTTGTTTACACAATCAAGAGATTAAAAATTTGATTGCAGAAATTTAATCAATTTAATTTTAATTTAATATACACATTTTCCGCGTGTTTTAAAATGTGCAAATTTCTTACCTGGATTGCCGGAGCGTGAATAAATTCCAACTTGGTCGGAAGAAGAAAGTTTCTTTCTTACCAGAGTGGCGCGCTTTTGTGTGCATTATGGCTTCTATTTCGGGCTTCGCACCCAGCTGCAGCAGCCGCCTCTCTGATAATACAAGCTTTTAATTGCTCCAGAACTTTTGACGACCAAAGTTTTGCCGTGACAAAAGCGAGAACCTTTTGATGATCATCGAGGCTCACCTCTGTACATAAGTTTCTCAACAGCTACTGCTCACACAAAAATTAGAATAAAATTTTTACAAATATATTAGCTTGATATGAAGGAAAATAATTAAATTAAGAAATGTAACCCAAATTAATTAACAATTTAAATGTCACAAGAGGGATGCAAATAATCTTAGAGATGTAAAATTTTAATAAATTAAAAAAAAATGTAGGTGGGAATCTATAAAATGAAATAAAATTATAGTAAACCATTTTAATATTTCAGACAGAGCTTTCTGAAAGTTCAAATTAAATTTTAAAATTAGAAGTATTCAATATTCAGCAGTGTCCGAATTACAAATTCTTCACAAGAGAAGTTGAAAGTAAAATTGAAACTATTATTTTCATTGACTGCAGACACCGGTTTTGGTAACTTTGATTGACGACCGACTGACAGCCGAGTGGCTTTTGTTTGATCTCCATTCTCTTTTGCTCTCTCCCACCACAGTGACCTGCCCGCCGCGGAAGCTGTCACTGTCAATCCTCTTGCATGCAAAACACGCGAAATTTGATTCGAGCCGGTACAACACCGCGCGCGCCGTACATAAATTTGCACTTTGCCGGTGCCGATAATGGCACATCCAGCACCGCGGAAAGCGGCGAAAAACCGCAATGCGCCGTTTGGTGGTGCTGCAGCGTTCGACACCTCCTATCTTGACAATTTGGCGCAACTCGCCGCTCATGCTTTTACGCCCGGTGATCCTTTTAAGTGCCGTAAGTCGGCTGCAATCAACAGCGAGCCGGCTCAGCCCCTTGAAACTTCTTATTGAAATTCACGGCCGCGCGCTGACGCCTTGGAACAGCCGTTTTGCCGGTACATCCTTTTGTGTCTCGGAAAAGTAGCCGAACTTTTCACTTAGGCAAATTAAGTCGCGGTGAGCAACTTTTCCTGCCGAGATTGGCTCCGCAGAGGAAGAGATAACACGGTTGCGAAAGTTGATTGCTGCTGAATTGGCAATTGCCTCCGTAATGATCTCCAGAAATAAAGTTCCTCTGGTGGAAAATTTAGCCCCAGCCATCTTTTGTGCATAAGGAAAGAGAGAGGAAGCTCGTTCTGAACTTTGCAAGTTTTATCTATGAAGAAAATGCTCTGCAGAAATTTGTTCTTTTTTTGGTCTGGTAGGTCTGAAAAATCCTTCTTGGAATTTGCAATATTGGCTAAATTTCTGCATCAATTAATCAAATTATTGAGCAATCTAGTACAAAAATAATAATTATGTTACTATTATTTATTGACTAATCAGAAATCAGAAATTAAATATAATAGCAAGTGCCAAATTTCTGCTGAAGTCCATTCATCAATAAAAATTAATTTTATAAATTTTGTTTCATTTTTTTCCCAAATTTTTTTTATAATAATGTTAATCTAAAATTTGAATTATTTATTTTACTAAGATATAAGAAATATAATCTTATTTGAAAAATTAATTCCAAATTTTAAGTAAATAAACTATAAATAACATATATTCAGTATTTATGAAAACTTTAATTTAAATTTTGTAAAAAAGATTTATATCAATCTTCTTATCTTTATCAATACTCAATTTTCTGTAATTTTTAAATCTATCTTAATTTTTTCTCTTATTATTCCATTACAAAAAGTGATGAAATTAATTTCATCGTCAAATTAAATTTTATAGAATCTTTTCCAAGCCCTGCTATGAAGATAATTTAAAATCCACCCTTCATTCAATAAAGATAATGAAATTCAGCCACCCTCTCGCTGTAATAAGAAAGATATTGCAAGACTGCAAGTATGAAAATTGAATAAAACCTCTCCGGATACCGCGCATATTTCAAGAGCTCCTTCTTCACTCTGAGAAAGTGAAATTAAATTGAGAAACGCGGCTTTCATTCATTTGAAATAACATTTTTTCAGCTCGTTTGAAAAATCCCATCCTGACTGTCATGTTTATACGCATCTCAGGAGGGCTGGCTTGATATCTTGCAGATTGTGCTCCCAAAAAAATTTGCTCGGCCGAATCTGGACATCATCAAAAGCAGCATTTTTCCTCCTCGGGAGGAAGAAAAACGGGCTTTGATCAGACATAACAGGCACGCATCCGACCTAATATTTTTTGGAGAAAAGGATGAATAATGTACATAGAGGGAAAATAAAATATATCTCTGAAAAAGGTAATAACGCGGAATATTTTCTTTGGCAGCAAACGAAAAGGCAAAAATTGTTTGTTTGCCAAAGCAGCATCAGCAAAAAAAAAATATACAAACGGCGCAGCTCTCGCTTGCTCATTATTATTTTTTACCCGATGCAAAAAAGGGAAAAGTTTGCAGCGTGCCTCGAAATTAAAACGGGCGAGCGAAATCTGGTATCGTGCAAATAATTCGAAACATGCACTCGGAATTTATTACTGGCCT